TTTTTTATTCTTGAGAACCTTTTTGGGGTTATAACCAATGGAGTACACAAAATTTTAAAAATAATTAGTGAGTTCTAAACTAATTTTATTGTTGAGAACCTCATTATAGGGCTTTTAACCAATGTATATGCTCTTAATTATCACTAGATTTAGAAAGATATTATATTTTGTTTAACAAATATATCTTAAAAACAGTCAACAAACCAGCCATTGTTTTTACATTCGTCTCATAAGGAGAGGTCTCTGTTTCGATAATCGAAAAAGAAATTGAGTACGTAATTATTATAAAAACCGAAAACAAATAGTAACCCCATACTCCAGGTATGTCTCTCTTTTCCCATTTACCATAATATCTCCATTTTGTTATTACTATAAAAACTTGCTGTAATTTGTAAAAAACAACATGGCACGTAAAGACTCGCACATCAATCTCCACCAACTAATCAATTATGATTTATTTGTTAAAAAAACTTTAACCACCATTTGTTTTCTCTGTCAAGCCTTTACAATGAAGCGTAGCAGATCATCACCAAACAAAGAGAACTCAAATGTTACACCACCGTATCAAAAACATATAGGGTTTATATTATGCAATTTCCATACCACAATATATACGAGGGAATTACTAACCGAGTTTAAATTCACAGATAGAAGACCGAGAAAATAAATCATTCCAGGTAAACTTGAATACGTGCACCACATATCAGAAAGTGGATGCACTCCACCTTCTTTACAAAAAAGAAGTATTTGTGTATTTGAGGTTAACCATATTAACTACTAGAAAAACAAACAATGAACGGAGAAAATGCCTCACATAATTTTTTATCACTTATCCAAGCAAGTCATCTCTATATTTTTGGTATCAAATACAACTTCACTTCTTTTGGTCATTAACATTTCTAGCGGAAAAAAATGGTTGAAGTTGAGATCAACATTTTTGGCACAAAAAAAAAAAACTAAATGAAGGAAAAACTCAATCACTATAATGATATAGTAAAATGACTAATGGTATCCGTAATCAACAAGGGATTAGATATAAAAAAAAATCCCTAAAACTCGACAAACGTTTGAATTTGCGGAAGTGTATATGCTCGAGCAAAGGAAGAAGTTGAAGATACAAGCCAATCAAACGGAGACAGCTAGACAATGCAAGAGCTGACATGATCTGTGGACGGTATGCACAACATCAACCCACTCCACATTTCCCCAAACCGTACCACCATTGCGTTTTCCCACCACCATTTCAGCGCACCAAATCTTCTTCATATCATTGAAATTATTCACTTCCCAAATAAGTAAGAGTTTCCCACCAAAACTATAACTACTTTACTCGTACTAACAGTTGAGTTACCGTTCGTCTTGTCTAGTAGTGAATTCCAGCCTTTTTGTCAAACCAAATTCGAGCTTTTTTGTCATACCACTGGCACCTGAAAGGACCACCGCTACCATCCGGACCACAGGAGTAGAATACATTCTCTAAAACACATTGTGACTTCGGAAGTTACACTCTTGTTTTCATAGCATTCCCAATTACATTGCTTTGGGTCGTAAGCATAAATATTCCATACAGCCTCAAGGTAAATCTTCCCTTCAATCTCCTCGATTCTGTAAATGTAACGCTTGCGTATCTCAGAACCCGGATTAGGGAGACGTTCCCAAGTCTGAGTCTTTGTGTCGAAAACCTCAGCCCGTGATTCATCATCCTCTAATCCATTGCACCGACCCATTACATAGATTTTCCCATCGTAGACACATGTTAAGGCATATTCACGGGCTACGTTCATGCATGGGGCATCATGCCAAGTGCGAGTGCGACAATCGAGGATTCGTACCGCAGAGGACCGTACTCTGTAGACTCCGCCGATGAAATAAAACCTTGAGCCAACAACTACGGTGGAATTTGATAAAAAAGGAAAATTAGAAGAGGGAATCGAAACTAACAATTTTCCAATTGTTTTCTTCTTAGTCACGGAGGAGTTGGATAGGGTTTGATTAGGGTTAATCCATAGTAACCATTGGGGAAATTGATAACTTGGATCCCGTAGACAGACATAGAGACACTGCTCGGTGCTTCCAAGGTGAGATCAAGCTACGTAGAGTTCAGTGGAAGAGAGAAGCGAACTGAAGCTTTTGGAAACGGTTGAGAGGGTTGGGTAGTAATTCGAGATCCGTGCTAAGAACCTCAAGGCGATTTCATCTGGAAGTAAAGAAAATGATGGAGTTGACGATGGTGCTGACGAATTCTTCTTCTTCTTTAGTGTGGTTCTACTTGGAGACTCATGGAGGAAGTGATTTGTATGTGAAAAACTAGGTCAAGTGAGAAAAACTATTAGGGTTATAAATTTAAAATCTTATTACATAAAAAGGCTTTTGGGTAATCTGTTTTTTTTTTTATATATATATATATAAAGCAGAATTTAGGGTGATCTTAATAACAAACAATATCTTATAACAAGAATATTTATATGATGATATTAGTTGCTTGAAAACCCTAAACTTTTGAGCTTGATAATACTTCATTAAGTTTGTATTGGGTTTATCCAATGGGATGCTATAATTAAATTTGCGTTTTTGTTATCAATATACAACTTTACAAATCAAATTTGAATTTCGAAAATCATCATTAGTGTCATGCAAATTAAATTTTGTGAGATAAAATACATATGGGATATATTCAATTTAATTTTTGTTGTTTTTAGTATCTTTGATATATATTGTAAAAATTATGATTTTTTAATTTTGAATATTCAATGGTCAAAAATCTAATTTTGATCATTAATAAAGATAACAAACATTTGCATCAATTCTCTTCAGTTTCTTGTTGATTTCACAGATTATTAGTTGATTCGATTCCGATTTTTTTAGGGGTGATTGCAAAAATGCCACTTTTGATGTATACATTTGCAAGAATACCATTTAGGGGTGTCCATTTGCAAGAAGAAGACTAGTCGCCGTGGTCGACTTTGTGTTCATACTTTTTCGTTTTTAATAAAAAAATTGTAGGATTCGAAAAAATGCAAAATGTGTCACCATGTGACATCGAACTCTTGACCTTGAGGTATAGGTATGTGCGTTTTCGAACCAAGTGAGCTGTGGGTGTTTAATCAAACAATGAAGCAAACGAAAACATTATATTCATATATGTTTTCCGTTTTTAATCAAAAAATTGTAGGATTCGAAAAAATTCAAAATGTGTTTTTTCCAAAAACACTTCAAAAAAAATTTGACAAAAAAAGTCAAAAATGTTTTTCACGAAAAGAAGAAAAATCAGGAAGGAGAATAATAGATTTAGGAAAAATAAATAATTTTTTGTCATAGTTTTTTTTGTAATTTTCAATATTAATCAAAGAGTAATGTAGAAAAAAAATTGGCACAAAAAAGACAAAGGTTATTGGGACAAAACCAATTTCAATGTGAGTAAATTTAGCAAAATTCCTTTTTTTAAAAATTATAAACTCTAAAAAATGTTTTGACCCCTAAAACATCTTAAATCTTCAAAAGTAAACCCTAATACAGCATAGTTAACCCATACATAAATGATATAATGATTTTTTTTAAAGTGGCATTTTTGCAAAAATTTTGAAAATGTGGCATTTTTGAAAAGTAGTACTTGAAAAGTGGCATTTTAAAAAATTTCTCCTTTTTTCATTTGTTCGACTTCGGAAGCTTCGAAATCAGTTTTGTAAGCTTCGTTTGTTGTTCGTCTTATCACATGATCCCTTTTTGATCGACTAAAATGATGAAACTAGGAAGGAAAACACGTAATCGAAACATTTCATCAGAGTTAGAGGAGTCGCCGATTAAGACTAGAGGTATAGTTCTTTGTTACCTATAGAACAAATCAAATAAAACCGACTAGAATACGATTTCGTTGCCTATATTTCAAAACCCAAAAAATTTAAATTTATATCGAGAACC